CGAGATCATGAACTGAGCCAAAATCAAGAGTTGGACGCTCAACTGACTGAGCCACCCAGGCTGTCCATACATGTACATAGTTTTTTTAAAATACAATTAGGGGGCGCCTGGGTGGCTCAGTTAAGCGACTGCCTTTGGCTTGGGTCATGATCCCAGGTCCTGGGATTGAGTCCCACGTCGGGCTACCTGCTTGGCGGGAAGCCTGCTTCTTCCTTTGTCTCTGCCTGCCACTCCCCCTGCTTGTGCTCTCAACCTCTGTCAAATAAATAAAATTAAAAAAAAATACAATTAGGATTATAGTGAAAAACAGCAGGCCTATCCTTCCCCACTTTTAATTCCCTTTTCCTTTTTGCAACCAACTTGCAACCCTTTTAGCTATGGTAGTACTTAGGTCCACATATCTTATGGCATATGTTAGATAGCTTATATTGTCATTTCTTGATTTTCTTCAGTTTCAGAGAATGACTTTCTACCCTGGAATAAGAATTTGCTTCTCTGCCTCCTCCACCATAAACTTCTCACCTTCCATCATTTTGGTTAAATCACTTTTCATGTGGGACGCCTGGGTGGCTTGGTTGGTTAAGCCTCTGCCTTCGGCTCAGGTCATGATCCCGGGGTCCTGGGATCAAGCCCCGCGGCGGGCTCCTTGCTCAATGGGGAGCCTGCTTCTCCTTCTGCCTGCTGCTCTCCCTGCTTGTGCTCTCTCTCTGACAAATAAATAAAATCTTTAAAAACAAAAAACCAGTTTTCAATCTTTAAATTCTTATCTAGTTAGCCTAGAAAAATTATATATACTATGATTACCTTTTCCTAATGTTAAAAATTGCCTTGTTTTCTTTTTTGCTGAGTTTTCTATGTAGGAATCACAGTCCATCCCCAAATTCTGCAACAGAGCTAAAAAAAAAAGCTACTTGTTTTATTTTTTCTTAAAGATTTTATTTATTTGAGGGGGCGCCTGGGTGGCTCAGATGGTTAAGCGTCTGCCTTTGGCTCAGGTCATGATCCCAGAGTCCTGGGATCGAGTCCCGCATCGGGCTCCCTGCTAGGCGGGGAGCCTGCTTCTCCCTCTGCCTCTCTCTCTCTCTCTCTCTCTCTCTGACTCTCATGAATAAATAAATAAAACATTTAAAAAAAATTCTAAGATTTTATTTATTTGAGAGAGAGAGAGTGTGTGTGTGCGCGCGCGCGTGCTCATGAGAGAGAGAGAGAGAGCATGAGCAGGGGGAACACAATGTGGGGCTTGATCCCAGGACCCGGGATCATGATCTGAGCTGAAGGCAGACGGTTAACTGATTGAGCCACCCAAGTTCCGCAGAAACTCCTTGTTTTATACCCAAACACATCAGAAATTCTTCAGTGTCATTTTCTTCTCAGAGTCATCTTCCTAATTCTGATCTGAACTTGGTACTCTTGCTCTGCAGCGCAGCTGTCATCCTGAGTCCTCCCTTCACCGTCATCCTAGGCATTCCTACCTCCTATTACTTTTATCCTATGTCCTTTTCATTCTTAGTTTACTCCTTGGATTTGGTGGAGTATATATTCCAGAAACTTCCTGACAACAGATGCGTGGCACCTAAATAAATTTTTGAGACCTTGCCTATCTGAAATTCTTTATTTTCCCCTCATACTTGATTGCAAATTAGGCTGGATATAGAATTCTAGATAGGAAATTATTTTACCCAAAAATTTCTAAAGCATTGCTGTCATTGCCATATCACTTTGTATGTTGCTTTTAAGAGGTCTGATGCCATTCTGATTCCCGATCCTGTGTAATCACTTGCTTTTTTCTTTCTGGAAGTTTTTAAGGCCTTCTCATTATCCATAGACTTTTGAAATTTTACAGCAATGTGCTTTCATGTGGCATGTCATAATCTTTAGGCATTGAGGAGTTCCTTTTGACCTATAAACTTGTGATTTTGGGTTCTCAAAATTTTTCTTTTGTTATCTTTGAAAATCTCCTATTTTTATTCTTTCTTCCGAATCTCTAGTTTTGGGTGTGTGTTGGCTGTCCTGCATTTATCCTCTTTTTTTTTTCTATTGATCTATTTTCCATCTCTTTGTCTTTTGTTCTATTTTCTGTCCTATTTCCTTAACTGTATCTTCTAACTATTCTACTTGTTTCTGTTATTTTTAATTTCTATATCCCTTTCTTAGTCTCTGCTTTTATAATTCAATAGCATTCTGTTCTTAACATCCTTAATTCATTAACTTTTTTAAAGATTTATTTGAGAGAGAGAGTACATGTGCACATGTGAGCAAGGGGGAGGGGCAGAGAGGGAGAGAAGCAGACTCCCCGATGAGCCCGGAGCCTGGCACAGAGTCAATCCCATGACCCTGAGATCATAGCCTGAGCTGAAATCAAGAGTCAGATGCCCAACCAACTGAGCCACCCAGGTGCCCCTAATTCATTAACTGTTTAATTTTTTTTAAATTTTTATTGTTATGTTAATCACCATACATTACATCATTAGTTTTTTTTTTTTTTAAGATTTTTTTATTTATTTATTTGACAGAGAGAGAGAGAGAGAACAAGTAGGCAGAGAGGCAGGCAGAGGGAGAGGGAGAAGCAGGCTCCCCACGGAGCAGGGAGCCCGATGCGGGGCTCGATCCCAGGACCCTGGGATCATGACCTGAGCCGAAGGCAGCCGCTTAACCAGCTGAGCCACCCAGGTGCCCCTACATCATTAGTTTTTAATATAGTGTTCCATGATTCATTGTTTGTGCATAATACCCAGTGCTCCATGCAGAATGTGCCCTCTTTAATACCCATCGCCAGGCTAACCCATCCCCCCACCCCCTCCCCTCTAGAACCCTCAGTTTGTTTTTCAGAGTCCATCATCTCTCATGGTTCGTCTCCCCCTCTGATTCCCCCCCCATTCTTCCCCTCCTGCTATCTTCTTTTTTTTTTTTTTCTTAACATATATTGCATTATTTGTTTCAGAGGTACAGATCTGTGATTCAACAGTCCTGCACAATTCACAGTGCTCACCATAGCACATACCCTCCCCAATGTCTATCACCGAGCCACCCAATCCCTCCCACCCCCCACCACTCCAGCAACCCTCAGTTTGTTTCCTGAGCTTAAGAATTCCTCATATCAGTGAGGTCATATGATACATGTCTTTCTCTGATTGACTTATTTCACTCAGCATAATACCTTCCAGTTCCATCCACGTCGTTGCAAATGGCAAGATCTCATTCCTTTTGATGGCTGCATAATATTCCATTGTGTATATATACCACATCTTCTTTATCCATTCATCTGTCGATGAACATCTTGGCTCTTTCCACAGTTTGGCTATTGTGGACATTGCTGCTATAAACATTGGGGTGCACATACCCTTCGGATCCTGACATTTGTATCTTTGGGGTAAATACCCAGTAGTGCAATTGCTGGATCATATGGTAGCTCTATTTTCAACTTTTTGAGGAACCTCCATACTGTTTTCCAGAGTGGTTGCACCAGCTTGCATTCCCACCAACAGTGTAGGAGGGTTCCCCTTTCTCCACATCCCTTAACTGTTTAATTTTTAATATTTTTATTGTTTGCCTGGTTTGCCTGACAATGGTCACAAAAAGTCTATGTTCTTGTTTTTTGTAAGTGGACATTAAAATTTTTCAGGTAATGTCCCAATATCATAAAAAGTGTAAGGTTTGTAGATTCCTAATGGTTCTATAAAATTCTCCTTTTATTATTTTTTTTAAAGATTTTATTTATTCATTTAGAAAGAGAGAAAGCACATGAGCAGGGGGAGGGGTAGAGGCAGAGGCAGAGAGAGACTCTCAAGTAGACTCCCTGCTGAGCAGGGAGCCCGACATGGGGCTCCATCCGACGACCCCAAGATCATGACCTGAGCCAAAACCAAGAATTGGCCACTTAACCCACTGAGCCACCCAGCTGTCCCAAAATTCTTCTTTTAAAGTCAGTCCAAAAGACTTGGTATGAGGAATAGTCCTATTAGGGTTCAAAAACTGATATTTGCATTTATATTGTGTAGATTGAAGAAACAAAACCTGTAAAAAAATTTTAATGACAATCCATGTCTGAATCTTTTCAAAAATGGAATATTTGAGGAATAATTATTATAGTTCCTTTTTCATTAAAAATTAATATTGCTGGGGTGCCTGGGTCGCTCACTTGGTTAAGCATCCGACTCTTGGTTTTGGCTCAGGTCTTGATCTCCCAGTCATTAGATCGAGCCCCAGGGCGGGCTCTGCACTTAGCACAGAGTCTGCGTCAGATTCTTTCTCCCTCTCCGTCTGCTTCTCCCCCACCCCCACTCACTCTCTCTCTCTCAAATAAATAAATAAACAAACAAATAAATAAGTAAAATCTTTGGGGGAAAAAAAAAAGAGGGGCACCTGGGTGGCTCAGTTGGTTAAGCCTCTGACTCTTGAATTCTTCTCAGGTCACAATCTCAGGGTCATGAGATGAAGCCAGAGTAGGGTTCCATCCTCACTGGGGAGTCTGCTGGAGATTCTCTGTCTCCCTCTCCCTCTGCCCTTCCCCTATTCTCTCTCTCTCTCAAAATAAATAAATAAAATCTTTAAAAAAAAGAAGAAATTAAGATTACTCCCAGAATCATCTCTACTCATTCTTACAGTCAAAGAAGTAGTCATTAGACTAAGATGTTTCCAGGAATTTTGGACTACCAGAAGGAAGTCATTATCTTCTGAAGACACTGTTGCTATGAAAATGAAAGCTGGTCTATTTTATTGTAGTAACCACTTGAGTTGCTAATATTTACCTTATTTAAGATACATGTAGAGTAAATTTTAAAAAGAAAAAAGTGGTTTGCCTTGGCAATGGTCACAAAAAGTCTATGTTCTCATTTTTTGTAGCTGGACACAGATTTTTCAGGGTTGAGTCTCCAACTCTAATCAAGTACTGTTTTGATGCTATGCCAGGTGAAGGCCTGCCATGTTCATGGAATCAATTCTGTTACAGACTTTTTCAATATTTCACAAATATGTATTTTTTTCTTTCTCGCTTATTCTAGTGAGACTCTATACGACTTCATTTCCCATATCAGAGAAAGCATTCACAGGGTAAGTATAGCTGCATGTCAAGGAATTAAAACATTTTACATTTTAAGAAGTTTACTAATTACATTGACCTTAATTCATATAGGATAACAGTATTTTAACTACTTTTTTTTTAAGATTTTATTTATTTCTTTGACAGAGAGAGACACAGCAAGAGAGGGAACACAAGCAGGGGGAGTGGGAGAGGGAGAAGCAGGCCTCCCGCTGAGCGGGGGAGCCTGATGCGGGGCTCAATCCCAGGACCTTGGGATCGCGACCTGAGACGAAGGCAGACGCTTAACGACTGAGCCACCCAGGCGCCCCTTAACTACCTTTTTTATCACTAAATGACAATACTCTAAGTTAGGAAAATAAGGCAATAGTCTGTGAATTATTCTTAATTTGGGGTTGCTTAGTTGCAGACAACAGTGGAAAAGTCTGAGGAACATCTCAGCTCAAGAAGCCAATCTATCTTGGATTGTTTGGAGACTGTGGCCAAGACATGTGAGTATCTGGTATTTGAGGTTATCAGCAGAGGGCACTAGTGAGCAGTGAACTGAACTTTCTGACCCTAGCCACGTTTCTGTCAGGGGTGAGGTTCCATAGTGTTTCAGATGAGAGAATGGGTACATTAAGGTTAGCCCTGTAGAGATGTGGAGCATGCTGAACTGGGCAGTGGGACCCACGTAGGTGTTGGGAATGTTCCTGGTCCCTAGATGCACTCTGTGAAGCTCTACTCCTCCGCCCAGTAATCCCGCTGCCTCAGGATAGGTAACTGCCAGATTTCTCATCTCACTGCCTGAAGTGAATCAACAGCATCCCTGAGTCCCTAATGAGTTGCTGGCTGTGTTATCTATAAAGACATTGTTCCCTTAGGACTTAGAAATAAAGACTGCTCCCTTAGGAGTTAGAAATATTCCAGTCACCTAATCTTCTTGCTGCCATGGTTTCAATGAGAGCTGTTTTGTAGTGAATCATAGCATCTTTCTCCATTTCAGTTATAGTTAGTGACCTGTAAAGTCTCCTGCTCTACCAGTTAGTGATTTATGTTTAGATAAAACCACGGTCCTGGCTCTTACTAAACAAAAGAGAGCCACAACACTGCTCTTCTTAGGCAGACACCTCTGTAGAACCAACAGCTTCTCAACTAAATAGCAAGATGATGACTGCATCTGCACTTGTTTGCATTTGTCTGTGTGTTTATTTTTTTATTTTAAACAAATTGAAGTCAACTTATTTAAATGCCTTGGAATGGATTGCTCATGATTTACAAAAATTAATGCCTTTGTGTGGCTTAGAAATTAATCTCCATCTGTCTGCAAAAAAGCACTGTACTGTCTGCTGGCTTCCAACCTGGGTATCCCACACACAGGGCAACTGTGCATCTGTTTGGAAACCAGTTCTGGAAGCCTGGGACTGTTGCCCTCACAAGAAGTAGCAAGACAAAGAGCAGAAGCAAATCAGGAGTGCTTCCTTTGTATATGATGGAATAACTCATTTGTAAGTGACCAAGGAAAGCACTCTTTTTGCTTTCTACATTTGAAACTAGGTAAAGCACAAAAAGGAGGATTATATGACATTCTTAGCCCAGACTAGGGAATGGAAGTGCCCACGCTCCCCATACAAGATCAAGGCAGAGCAAGGACTAGAACTGGGTCTGGGTCGTAGTAGGCATAGGGATCCTGATCCTTCACCCTGATGGTTCCTTTTGGATAAGACTCAGGAAAAGGAGCCACATTGATAGGGCAAACAGTAACAGATACTGTGGCATCATGTTAATTACAAAGTCAGATCATTTTTTTTTTAAGGTTTTATGTATGTATGTATGTATTTAGAGAACTTGAGCAGGGGGAGGGGCAGAGAGAGAGAGGAAGAGAGAGAATCTCCAGCAGACTCCACACTTAGCACGGAGCCTGAGTTGGGACTAAGCAGGCCTTGATCCCAAGATCCTGAGATCATAACCTGAACTGAAATCAAAAGAGTCGGATGCTTAACCAACTGAGCTACCCAGGCACCCCTAGAAAGCCAGATCATTCTTGAAAATGGCACAAGTAGCTTGTTCAGAGTCATTCCTTTTCTTGGTAGGTAGTGATCAGGATCAGGAAGTTAATCATTGAAAAAGGAACCATCTCTCTATCATCATATGGTGTGGTCCAGTCTAGCTGGCCTGAAGCACTGAATTTGCCAGTCAGTACATTCTGTAGTTTTCAGTATGCACTCACTGTAGCTCATGAGGGAAAGGGAAAGATATTGTGTGAAAGTGTTCTCTTGTGTTATTATGTAATGCGCACCTTCACAGAATGAGCTCATAAAATCTTTCCCCAGTCACAGTCTGCCTGTTCAACCAGAGGGATCACTCAAAGACATCTAATCTAACTCCTCTTGTTCTCTTCAGCTGAGGATTGAGGAGACCAGAGTAATAGAGTGGATTACCAAGGCCATCTATATCCTACTATAGTTTAGGTTTTGGTGGGCTAATTAGTAAAGGGCAGTACCACCTAATAGGTATCAGTTCTATTGAAAAATATGATCATTAGGAAAATAAAAAGGAGGGGATGCTATTGAAAATCAGAAAATGGGGGCACCTGGGTGGCTCAGTCGGTTAAGCATCCAACTCCTCATCTCAGGGTTGTGAGTTCAAGCCCCACGTTGGGCTCTATGCTGGGTGTGGAGCTTACCTAAAAAAATAAAAAAAGAAAGAAAATCAGAAAATGTCTTCTTTGGAAAATAGATAACTCTATACATAAAAATAAATTCCATATGAATCAACATAGTAAGTGTAATGATTAAATCATAAAATAACTATAAGAAAAAATGGGCAACATTTTTATAATTTTGGAGTGGAGAAATGCCTTTCTAAGCAAGGCACATATAATCATTAAAAAGAATGAGGTCTATCTTTATGAATCATGTTGAAATGGAAATAGCTATTCATCATTAAGTAATAACAGCAAGGTGCTGCTTGTGTGCACATAATTTACTCCAGGACACATCATGTGGAGGCGTGTGACCAGTTAGTGAAAATTGGGAAGGGTATCCCAAAGAAAATGGGAGACTGAGCAATCTCTTCTTATACATGGAGGCTCCCAGACCTTTCCACAGGCTGTCATCAGCATGGCAGGGAGAGCAAAGCTACAGAATACATAAAAGGAAAACCACTGGCAATCAGCGGAAAAGTGTCAGAATCTGATCTCATGTCAGTAGAGCCCTTGTCAAATAGCTAAAATAGAAATGAATAAAAAATTCATCTTCAGAGAAAACAGAGATACTGTCTAGAATATGGAAATGGATTTTAAATGGAATTTTTACAAAAAAGCTAAAAATACCTGATGTTTATGGCCAAAGCAGAAATGAAATGAGTCCCCTTCTAAAGGACAGCCATACACATATATACACACACAAGCTCTATAATCTGTACATGGATATGCACATGTATCAGTGTATCAATGCAAAGTTCCAGGTCATAATGTTAAATTCCAGGAAGTGGAACCAAGGTCTGCATGGGAGAGAATCGGTCAATTTTGCATGGCATACCTTTTTATACTGTTATAGGTTTGAGTTATTTTCTTAAAAACTTTTTAAAAGGAAAAGAAAGGGATAGACTTTGGAAGTAATGCGCTTGATACAAAAGCTCCTGTGAAAGAGAAGATCCCAAACATACATTTCCTGGGGGACAAGGAAAGAATACGTGGGACCACAGATAGATGCTTTCTGAGTACTGAATCTGGAATTGAACACTTTGCTTGCCTTCCCCATTCTCTGCTTTTGTGGTTGGTAATGTTCACTGTTGCTAAGAAACATTGCTATTTAGGAATTCATCTAGGATAAGATAATTACATTTGCTTTCTACTACAAATATCTACAAGGATGTCTGGAAAAATATTTGACTAATTGAGTTTAGGAATAGGAATCCAGTACTTAAACATAAGTAAACAGCCTTTTTCTAAGTGGTTGACATATGGAATTTAACTTTGTATTGAGTAATAGAAAATTTGCTTTCTAAAAAATTCTTTTTTTACTGTGGTAAAATACACATAATATAAAATTTATCATTTCTTACTGCAATTTTGCAAGACTACACTGGCTTGTCTATTTCTAGTCATAACAGGCTCTTTCACTTTGCACTTGCTGTTTTCTCTATCTGAATAACCTTCCCTTCATCTTTGCAGGGCTAGCTCCTTTAATCCTTCCGGTTTCACCTTAAATGTACCCATCTCTGATGACCTTATCTGAAATAGGTGTCCCCCACTCTGTTATTTTTATTATAATCCCTATCATAGCATTTATTACAGCTTTCATTTTTTTTTTTTAAAGATTTTATTTATTTATTTGACAGAGAGAGAGACACAGCGAGAGAGGGAACACAAGCAGGGGGAGGGCGCCTGGGTGGCTCAGTTGGTTAAGCGACTGCCTTCGGCTCGGGTCATGATCCTGGAGTCCTGGGATCGAGTCCCACATCAGGCTCCCTGCTCAGCGAGGAGCCTGTTTCTCCCTCTGACCCTCTCCCCTCTCAGGCTGTTTCTCTCTCTCAAATAAATAAATAAATAAAATCTTTAAAATTAAAAAAAAAAGAAGAAGAAGAAGAAGCAGGGGCAGTGGGAGAGGGAGAAGCAGGCTTCCCGCGGAGCAGGGAGCCCCATGCAGGGCTCGATCCCAGGACTCCGGGATCATGACCTGAGCCAAAGGCAGACGCCCAGCAACTGAGCCACCCAAGCGCCCCTACAGCTTTCATTTATTTATGTACATGTTTATTTACTTTTTTATTTTTATTTTTTCCTTTTCAAAACTGCAGAAATTCATGTATGTAGTAAACAGTTTTGTTCAAGATTGTTTCCATGTTCCTAGCACAGTATCTGATAATAATTTTCGGATAAAACTGTAAATCTCCAAATAATACATTCAAACACATCAGGCATTCTTTCTGTTTCATTTTCTCGTTAGCGACGTCCTGCCTGGAGCTCAGTCTTCCAGCTCCAAAACGGGCAGATTACTCCTAAGGTCCCGAACTTAGGACTTCTCTTCACCATCATTCTGAGGATCCTTTTTTTTCCTTCCCAGTCTTGGATCCCTTTGTTTACTGGACTTTGATTTATACTTGTATTTGGTGATAACACATCTTCCAGTAGCTTTCTGAGAAAGAGTGTATGGGAGGGAAACTTTTTATACACTGCATGTTTGAAAATGTCTTCTATCTCTACATGGGTCTAGAATCCTAGGGGGAAATGCTTTGTCCTCCGGATTTCTAAGGCATAGCTCCATTGTCTTCTAGTGTTAGTTTGGTTATTGAGATGTTTAATGCCATTTTGCTTCTTGATTCTTTATGTTATCTGGGTACTCCCTACTATCCCTAGTAGACATTTTTTTGAGCCTCATGTTTTCCCTTGATAGTCTGAGAACCAACTGGTAAAGTGCCACAAACCATAAGATAATTTAGTTGGGTAGCAGAAATTAACAAAAAATGTAGTGGGGTAAAAAAAAAATGCCATTTATAAATCTAACACAGAAGATAAACTACTCAGGAATAAACTTAACAAGGATATACAACTCTTTTTTTTTTTTTTAATGGCTTCTGGGATTTGTCTTGCTTAGAAAGGCCTTCCCCTACAGAGTCACAATTTCTCCCATGTTTCCTTCTCGTACTTTACAATTTACTTAATTATACTAAAATTGTTAATCTATCTAGAATTTATGTTAATATAAAAAATCTCAAATATAAGAGTCCTTTTAGGAAAGGGATTATGTTTTATTTTAAAGAGAAACTCTGAAGTAAGTCACTTAAGCTTTATTAGATAGCATGTGTTAAACTCCTGCCCTTGGGGTGGTAAGAGAAGACAAAAGAGACAGAATAGTTAGAACACAGAGGTCGGGCAAGGTGGGGACACTAACCAAAGCACCTATCAGATTGAGGCAAGCTTTCAAATAAGACTAAATTTGAGGGGTTTTTTTGTGTTGTTTTTTTTTCCCAAAGATTTTATTTATTTGTCAGAGATAGAGAGGGAGAAGCACAAGCAGGGGGAGTAGAAGGCAGAGGGAGAAGCAGGCTCCCCGCTGAGCAAGGAGCCTGATGTGGGACTCAATCCCAGGACCCTGGGATCATGACCTGAGCCGAAGGCAGACGCTTAACGGACTGAGCCACCCAGGTGTCCTATAAATTTGAGTTTGTTATCCTGTCTTTCAATCACCAGATGTCACTCTGATTTTCCATTTATTGTGAAGAGTTAAACACTCTCTTGTTGCCAAATTGTTTTTTACCCATGTAAAATGAAAAAAAATTTGTCAAGAATTTTGAAATACCCTTTAGATAGTTATGAGAAGATAAAAGGAATTTCTGGTGTATTATTCCTGATTATTTGTAAATTATACTTGTTACGCATTTAAGATATATGTGAACTTACAATAATAGTTTGCAGAATATAGTAGATACTCATCAAATATTCATTGAATAAATGTAAGAGTGTCTTCACATAACCTGCCATTTAGCAAGAGGGTGGCAATATTTGATTGCAACACAATGTGTTAGTAAGTGTGTGTGTGTAAAATCTCCCTATGCCAAAGAGAGGAATCAGTATCAGTCCTGAGTGCTTAGCACTCAGGTCACCAAGTTCATTGCACCCAAGTGTAAATAGGGGATAAATAAGTGATGGGTGTTAGGTGATAAGTGATGGTGGAGCACACAAATGGTGCCAACAGCAGAGAAAAGGAGCCCCCACGCCAGCCAGGATATGCTGTTTTCCAAGGAGGTGACTGCTGAGAGCAGAGGGAAGAATAGGAATTAGTTGCACTGAGGGGCGCCTGCGTGACTCAGTCGGTTAAGCAAGTACCTTTGACTCAGGTCATGATCCCGGAGTCCCAGGATCAAGCCCCGTGTCAGGCTCCCCAATCAGTGCGGAGTCTGCTTGTCCCTCTGTCCCTCCCCCTACTCGTGTTCTCTGTCACTCTCTCTCAAACAAATAAAATCTTAAAAAAAAAAAAAAGGAATTAGTTCCACTGAGGCGGTGATTGAGGGGAATGGGTAGAGTTGATAAGGGACCGAAGCATAAGTACTCCAAGCCAAGGGGACAGCATGCACAATGCCAGTGATGAGACAGAGATTGCATAGGAAACAGACCTCAGAGATGTGGAGGTGGGCAGAGAGGGTAAGCAGAAGTGAGCCTGGGTCTTCACAGGCAATTTAAAAATTTGGACTTTGGGGCGCCTGGGTGGCTTAGATGGTTGGGTGTCTGCCTTCGGCTCAGGTCATGATCTCTGGGTCCTGGGATTGAGCCCCGTGTCGGGCTCCTGGCTTGGTGGGGAGTCTGTTTCTCCCTCTGCCTCTCCCCCAGCTTGTGCTCTGTCTCTTTCTCTCTCAAATGAATAAATAAAATCTTTAATAAATAAATAAATAAATAAAGATTTGGACTTCACCCAATGGCCAGTGGGGTGCTATTGAAAGTTTCAGTGCAGGTTTCAGAGAAGGTATGATCATATCTACATTCTGAAGAAATCACTCTGAGGACAGAACCAAAAAGGTAGGCCAAGGAGGAGCTTGGTGCCATCATCGGGGCAGCAGGTTTCAGAGTCCCCAGGAGATGCTGAGTTTGAGGCTGCCTGGGCCAGAATGTTCTCAGGGTGGGAGGGAAGAAGAGATAGTGAAAGAAACACTCTTCTCGGGCTTCCTCTCCTCACCAAGGCTGATCTGGTTGGAGAGTCCTGGGCACCAGCAGAGCAGGCTCAGGTGGCCCATGCCTGATTCCAGCTCGTCCCTTTATTGCGGTCTGCGCGGGGTAGGGCATTGCCATAGTCTTCATGAAGTGATTGTCAACTTTCTGTATTTAGTACAAGAGACTGTGCGGGCCCAGAGTGATCTGGTGTTGGAAACAGTGCATGACAAAGGCAACATGGAGCAGGTCATCTTTGAGATACAGAAGAGATTTGAAGCTGTAAGTGTGGATACCAACCTCTTTCCTCAAGTATGTTTTTAGCTTTGTCACTAAGACCCAGAGAGACACCTTTAAAGTTGCAATTTTTTTTTCAGCCCAGAACAGAAGCCAGATAGGTCTCTTGGTAATGGACGAGGGTGGGACCAACTTCCTCCTCCAGGGTTCTCTGGCATGATGTGGACCCAAGGGGCCCTGCTCCAGAATGTTGCCATGCTTCCTCTGTAAAGCACCCAGCAAGGGAAAAGCTTTGGTTCTGCTAGCACATCCTTTGGTTGGTTTGCACATTTCATTGTGCATTCTGAGTTGCAGTGTCCATAACTCTTTTCTCACTGTCTTTCCCTAGAGGCAAGCAGAATTTATAGAAATGAAATCCGAACTGAAGCAACTTGAAGTTTTAGTTGCCCAGCAGAGTAAGGACTTCCAGCAGCTGTGTGAGCAGCTAGGCCAGCTGAATGTGACCAGTGTCCTGGCAGAGCTGAAGAGATTGATTTCAGGCCCTTGGGGCCCAGGGCACGTGAAAGACAGCACTTCCCAGACCTCACCACCTCTGGTCCAGAGCCTCCATTTCACCAGGCAGGACAGATATGCTTCTGAGGAACCAGTTCTCTGGCAGGCTCAGGCACCCCCTGCTGTATGGAATCCGAGTATGGGTTCCCTGCAGCCTGGAGAGTTTGGTGTCTGTGGTGAGGGAGCAAAAAGTAATGCTCTCCAAGAAGAGGCTGCGCTGATGGCAGCTGGAACCAGCAAAAGAAACAGGCGAGTCAAGGACAGGGCAGTGCAGACCAACTGCAAGAACTGGACCCTTCCTAAAACCTGCTCAGAGAACCATGGCTCCGGCTTCCCAGGCCCCAAAGTTCCTGGTGATAGGGACTGGGTTTCCCAAGGAGCCTCAAGGCTTCTACCCCTGGACTTAAACAACTTTGCAAACAGCATTAAGAACACCTGCCAAAAATGTCAAACCGAAGGTGTGTCTCCGTGTGACCCTTGTGAACAAAGGTGGGTGGCTGCACAGAAAGGCAGAACCATGGAAAGGCGGGGGACAGGCAAGAAGCAGCAGCCCAGGAAGTCCCACAGGGGCAGGCTCCTAGCCAGGAAGCAAGAACACGTCCCTAGCAAAGCCTGTGCTTTCATCTCTAAATATCCTCAGCCTCCAGTTTCTGGCCCACAAAGGCCCCCCCTGGAGCAGCAGAAGCCCCTTGCTCAGCCCCTGCATCTGAGGGGCCCCAGCAGCCCCACAAAGCCAGTCAGCCCTGTTCTGGGAGGAATAGTCAGGCGCAGTAAAGTGATGAGGGCAGCACAAGGGAACACCTTACAACTCGGCGGGCATTCTTCCCAAGACGACAGCCTGCTTTCCACCAGTTCCCAGGGGGACCACCAGATGAGCTGGTTCAGCGACCTCAGCCTGGGAAGTTCAGAACCCCCTCTGTGCAGGGAGCCAGGGAAGAATGTGCTCTATGACCTGGGTTTTGATAGCAGTGATGATGGCTTCTGACCAGCCCAGGAGATGTCTGCAGCTGATAGTTTATTGGTCTCAGCTGGAAAGACAAATGATAGCGCCCTGGGGCTGGCTAACAGCAGAAAGCCCCCGAAGCCCAGGGGAGCACTTGGGCTCAGAGGCCCGCTGGGGGTCAGGGCGGGATGGGTCCGGCATTCTGGGTACCAGGTGCCACCCATGACAGGCCTCAGAGCTACATGCATCCTTATTTATTGGAGCGAAGCGTGTGAAGACCGTGGTGAGAAGCCGGGGCAGCAGCCTGGGTGTAGGGCATCAGGGGAGGGTTCTGTTTCTGGTGAAAGGAGGGATATTGCGTGACGGAAGGGCTCGCACAGAACCGTTGCTTCGGCACCATGACTCCCCAACACCACATTTTTGGTCTTCACAATATTTCCTACACATAACCAATACCTTTCCAGGCCTCAGTAGTATTTTATTATTATTTTTATCCAGTTTTACTGTCAGAGCGCTTGCATTTTTTGATCAGTGGATGTATTATTACAGAACACACTAAGTCAAGTCTTCTTGTGTGAGAAACCGAGAATGTTAAGCTGCCAGTGAAAGAGAGGTGACATGCACCCAATGAATGCCCAGAGTGCCGCTGTACACGAGCCACACAATCCCAATTTTCTTCCTGGCTCTTTGTCCCCATCCTGTTTTCAACCACTCTTCAAGCTGATGAGAGCATCTAAGGGTCCAGTAATATTTCTGGAGGGTATGGGGCTTATATGAAACTTTGGCTTTCTATTTATATCTTGCAGAAGTTTTGAATTTTTGTTATACATATATATTTATTTTGTAACAAAAAAATAAAACATATAAAACATTTAAAAGCGTATTTTTGGGGGGAGCATCTGGGTGGTTCCATTGGTTAAGCATCTGACTCTTGATTTCGGTTCAGGCTCATGATCTCAGGGTTCTGAGATTGAGCCCCGCATGTGGCTCTGCACTGAGCATGGAGCCTGCTTAAGCACTCTCTCTCCCTCTCTCCCTCTGCGCCTCCCCCTACTCAAGCTCTCGCTCTCTCTCTCAAAACCCCACAAAAAACAAAACACTTAAAAGCATATTTTTTCATTAAGTTTATTGAAGTGATCTCCCATCAACTTAAGAAAATCAAATGGATAAGATACATACCATCTTTTTATCCTGTAGGCTTCTCCCAAGATGATTTTGAATAAACAACACCCTACTCAGACTGGTTTCTCTTCCTTTATTTATCATTTGAAAGTAAAAATCCTCACTGGATGGATTGGCTTCCAGAATCTGCCCATTTTCTTTTTTTTTTTTTATTCTTTATTTAAATTCAAGTTAGTTAACATAGAGTGTGTCATTAGTTGCAGGGTTGGATTCAGTGATTCATCAGTTGCATATGAGACCCCGTGAGCATTATATCACGTGCCCCCCTTAATGTCCATCACCCAGTTACCCCACTCCCCCACCCCCCTTCCCTCCAGCAACCCTGTTTGTTCCCTAGAGTTAAGAATCTCTTACGGTTTATCTCTCTCTCTGATTTTATCTTATTTTTCCTTCCCTTCCCCTATGTTCATCTGTTTTGTTTCTGAAATCCCACATATGAGTGAAATGATATATTTGTCTTTCTCCGACTTACTGCGTTTAGCATAATACCCTCCAGTTCCAGCCATGTCTTTGCCCATTTTCAAGGCTGCAGTAAATGACACTAGGGCCTCTGAGTGGATCGTTATAGAAAACAATGGTTCTTGATTTTTTTTCTTATTTTTACATTCTTTATTTTCAAGGGTGTGTGTCCCACAAAAGTCTGAGTTTAATTTGCCTTCGACACCTTTGGCAGGGATACCAGGCACCAGCCTAAGCTGCTCTTACTGCCGTTTCCAGACCAAGGGCGTCCTGTGGCCTGTAGCTGGGAGCACCAGGCAATGGCAGCTGCCCTTTCTGAGGCCAAGGGCGTACAGACTTGGACTCTGCCTCAGGCTGCCCGGGCCTTCTCTCTGCCTGTGAGCCTCATTGGATGTCTGTTCGCCCTGGCCCCTGCCACCCTCTACTGCCTTCCCTGCTGGTTTGCTCTGCCTGTGCAAGGGAGGCCTGGGAGGAAGGGGCCCGGCCACACGACGGGTTCCTTCCAGCTCTTCTCAAACTGACTACAAGTGGCTGTTGGGCGGTTAGCATAAGGCTTGTAGGCCATAAGGGTTTGTATCGGGAAATCTTTTATTACTCTAAGTTGAAAAGTTTAGTCATTTTGGGGTGCCTGGCTGGCTCCGTTGGGCAGCTGCTTTCTGCTCAGCAGGGAGCCTGCTTCTCCCTCTCCCTCTGCCCCTCCCCCTGCTCGTGCTTTCTCTCTCTCTCAAATAAATCAACAAAAGTCTTTAAAAAATTAAAAAGAAAAAAGTTTAATCATTGTAAATCGAAGTTGAGACCCTGTTGAGAGAACTCCATCAATATTTATGACTGTGGCCTTCTCATTGAAGGGTCTGTCCAATTTTGAAATGCCAAAGCAGGACCCTGTGTTCTTTGATTCTGTTGTGAGTTATGAAATCCTGTATTTCTTCAGAAGGATTTCTTTTTGTGTTATGAAGTCAAAGATCAGAGTGACTCAGTGTTCCATGAGCTGGGTGTTTTTGTAGAATGAGCAGTAAATTTATCTCCTAACAAGCCTGGGTTAATTAAAATTACACCGCCTGTCTCTGGTGATCATCAGGAAAGGATATTCTGTTTCTTATTTTATTCCTAAGACTTCTTTTTTTTTTTTTTTTTTTAAACTCCTGTGTTCCTGCCAGATCTGGTGAGCGTGACATAGCCCAGGCACATCCCCAGAGCACACAACGTTTCTGGCTCTTTGGATGCTGACAGAGATGTGGCTACACAGGGGCGGATGTCGTGGGAGGTCTAGGGACCTAGGGCCCGGAGAGCCACCTAGGGGTGCCTCCCTCTGATAATGACCCCAGCTGCATCTGAGGATGGGAACCACATCACCTAATTGTCTTGACATTCAAGTATCAATTTAAATGTCACCTACAGAGAGGCCGTTTAGTGACCTTTTCTGCAAAAGCTTGCCCTACTCCCTGCCCATTCCCTTACCCTGTTTTAATTTTCTCCCACAGCTCCATCTGAAACGGTGTATTGATGCGCGTACATATGTTTTACCCACCTTACTGGGTGGTATATAAACCTCAGAAGCAAGGGCAGCATCTGCCTCATCCCTGCTGTATCCTCAGCACCCAGGAGAGTGTCTGACATGAGTAGACACTTGACAAATACTGAGAGCAGGGATTTCTTGCTTTCCATTTGAAGAGCTCCTTGCAGCCCTGTCCCAAAGTCAGGTCTCTCTAGCATCCCTTTGCAACTTCCCGTTTTGGCATTTTGTCTCAGAAGTTCCAGAGGGCTCCTGATGAGGGGTCTGTCTCCTACAATATGCCCTCTTCTCTCCCAGGCCAGGTGCCAGCAACCCCTTTCCACCCAAAGGGCCCAGAAAATAGCCTTTCTGCCTCCAAAAAAAAAAAGTTGCTTCCTACAAGGGTTGAGCAGTTTTGAAAATTTTTTCATGCCAGGCCTTAGGCCAAAACTCTTCATCAAATCAGTCATCTTCCAGCTGGCCAAGCACAGAGAGTCCTTCCCCACTAAGGCTGGGATTCATTGTCAAATAGATTTCCTAAGTAAAACTTTGTCTACTCTATAAATATTTAGCTGGAACATAAAATATTAACATTCTCCCACATACTCCAGGGAGAAAGCACATTGCCAGAGCCTCAGATAGTCTTGGGCTGAAAGCCTTTTCAGTAATTATCTACAATCAGGTGCAGTGGCCTCCCTCGTGTGCGTGCTTCCTTCACTGGTCACCACCATATTAACCGTTCTGTGCTTCAGTTGGCGGAGGTGGCACGCTCGTACCCGGTAAGCCCCCAGCCTGGCCATTCGGGGAGAGGGAGCTTGGCCTGGATTAGGCCTCTTTTGCAAATCCTCTTCCTCAATTTCTTGGATCACTAACAGCTTACAACTCCTCTGTAGGAGGCTGGTGTTGCTGCCCTATCAGCACATTCCTGGGTGCATAGGTGAAGGACACGTGCCCCCGGGGTTGTCTGTTCCCTTCTGCCTGGTCTCCTGATCCCTCTGTGGTTTGCCCCGAGATTAGAAGTGGAGGGTCCAAGGAGCCAGGGCAGGTGGGCCAGGAGGTAGCGCCCCTAAGCCCCCCAGTGAGGGGGAGCAGAAGGCTGGGGGAGGGGAGCCTGGAGAGCCCGAGCTGAGAAGGCTGGCTGGAGCCCCACAGAAGCAGAGGCCTACTAACTGGAAGTGCCCCTGGAGCTCACCTGGCAAGACTTCAGACTCTAGGTCCATGTGGCCAGACAGCCATGCCCAGGAAAGTGGAGAACGTGGCAATCTGGACGAGGCTGAAGCCAGGGCCAATATTTCCAGCCTACGGCCACCCCTGAATTGTCCTTTTGAAAGAGTTGTTGCTCGGCTCTCAGGCCCCCTGTGGCTCTCTGCTCCTTGCTGACCTTCGCTCAACCATTGGCTCATCTCTCTCCTTTTTCCTATCCCTTCTTCCCAAGCAGGTCCTAGGAGCTTCTATGGACCAGCCCCCGCCTTACAAAGTCTTACCAGTCTGCATATAGAGCTGGGTTCTAGTGGCCTGGGCAGGGACACTGGTGGGATGTGGCCAGAGGACCCGGAGACCTCTTACAGGGCTGGATGGGCCCTGCTTCTCACGTGCCTTGTGCTGTGGCTTGAATTTGCAGTTTGTGACTAGCAGGTTCCAAAGCTCCTATTTTTTCTTGAGGTTGCCTTGTTTCTATTTTGAGTTTGCTAATCCAAATCACAGTTTGGTGTTTCCACGGAAACAATTCAGTGATTGTTTGGTTTGCCAAGATGAGCTGCGGGGGAGAGAACCAAATGACGTAAAACAGTTTTAGTTTCTCAAATATGACTCTCATTGTCTCCCCGAGAAGCCTTTGGTGCCAGCCCCCTGAAAACCCGAGGAAGTTGTATTAAAATAAATGTTCTAGACTCCTGTTCCCCTTCTGGCTAAGTCCCTGGAGACCCACTCCCCGAACACCCCTGCTGTGTGTAGATGAGCACACATCTGCCCAGTAAAGCAGATGACAGAGGCAGGAAGGTCTCCTTGGGGCACCTCAGGGAGCCAGGGATGCGGAGACAGGCGTCCAGGTCACCAGGGAAATGACCATATGGCTACCCCTGTTAATCTGGGACTGGAGAGCCAGAGGCTCAGGGCTCATCTGCTTTAACTGAACAGCTGTGTTTCTACAGTGAAGAAAAGCTCCTCCACTCAAGGATCCCAGGATGAATTACCCCTCTGGTAAATCTGAATTTTTACATAAAGGCTCAGCTAAAACAGCAATATGTCTGTCTGTCCCTCCAGGGAGAGCCAGGTCCCTCCCCCAGGCTGACCCTTGTTCTCAAGGACCATAGCCTCCTCTACAGGCAGAAACAATCCTTTCTTTTCAGTCTTCCAGGGTTAGGGCTAGGCCCCCATTCCCAGCACCCACTCCCCATGAAAGGACCCTGCGGGAGCGTGAATAGAATGCTGAGAAGCAGCCCCAGGAGACCTAGAGCTTCCAGTCACTGGGACCCGGCATCCTCAAGGTCAAGGTCCTGTGAGTCCTCCCATTGTGGGTCTAGCATCTGCCCCAGTTTCTGGGGACTGTGAGGGTTAGCTCTGGGCAGTCAGCTGGTGGAGGATACCCATGGCTAGTTGGTGGAGATGGGGACTTTAAGAAGCCATACGTGTCCACTGCAGGTAAATTAGAAAATATGGACAAGGGGAAAAAATGACAAACCCCCTTGTCCCTCCATAACAATCTCCTGCGCGTGCTGTGCTCACAGACACATCTGTACAAACTGGAGAGCAAGTGCACTTTTAAAAAATAAATACATTTTAAATTTTGGAATAGCTTTAGATTTACAGGAAGGTTACAACAGTTTGTATCTACCCTTCACCCAGCTTCCCCTAATCTTACATAACAGGCATATTTGTCAAAACTAAGAAAAATACACGAACTCTAGCCTTTATTTAGACTTCACCAGTTTTTCCATTGTCTTCTTCCTGTTCCAGGACGCGATCCAGAATACCACACGGAGATTGAATCAATGTGTCTCCTTAGTCTTCACTAGTCTGCGACGGGTTTTGAGTCTTTCCTTGCTCTCCATGACCTTGACAATCTGGAGTGCTGGCCAGGCATCCTGCAGGACATGCCCCAGTCTGGGTTTATCTGACATTCAGCTTGTGATTGGACCGGGGACATGGGGTTTGGGTAAGGACCTGACAGAGGTGGAGCCCCCTTCTCCTTGCTCCCTATGGTGGGGGGGGAGGTGGGGGGATCGGGGGGAGGCTGGCATCCACACATCACTGGTGCTGTTCCCCTTCATCACTTGCTTAGGTGCTATCGGGCTTCTCCATAGAGATCTACTGTTTGGGGGCACCCGGGTGGTGCAGGCAGTTAAGCGTCTGCCTTCGGCTCGGGTCCTGGGATCGAGTGCCGCGTCTCTCCCTCTGCCTGCTGCTCCCCCTGCTTAGTGCAAGCTCACTCTCTCTCTCTTTCTGACAAATAAAATCTTTAGGGGAAAAAAAGAAATCTGTGTTTCTTTTTCCCTGCTCTGTCCCTTGGAAGTGAGTCACTAAGTCTAGCCTGGCCTCAAGGGGCAGTGAAGGGATAGGGGTTGGATTAAGCGCCACCTTCTCTATGGGAGACTCTCCACATCCACACTTATTTGGAGTGCACTGTTGTGAGCCCTGGCTCGGATATCAGGACGTCTCTCCACGCACACATCCATTCTTCACCTGAGCAGGGCGGCCCAGGACGCTATGAGCCTTTCTTCTCATTCGCTCCTGTCCTTCCTGCGAAGGGAGAAGGAACTCCCCAACTCCACAGGCTGAGTGCTTACTGAGGGTGCCCCTGCAGGGACTGAAGGTCGGGTGGCCGGGGAGGAGCCTCCAGGTAATCTTGTCCCCCTCTGCCCCGGGCAAGGGCAGTGGTGGTGGCTGTCCCCGCAGGGGAGGCCCATCCCACAAGGTGGCCAGCCCGCTAAGGAGTGGGTGGGCAGTCTCCACCTGAGAGCCTGCAGGAGTCACCAGACCTGGGTCACCGGCTGTGCAGCCCGCCCTGTGCTCAGGTCTGTAGCCTAAAAGCTGGCCTGGCAAGGGGGGCCCTTGGCCACTGGGCTTTCCTTCCCAGTTCTTTGGGTCTTACCAATAGCCCCTGTGCCAGCCTCCTCACCCCCACGCTGCCCATCTGAGCCCAGAAGGCAGGCACTTCTCTGAGACTCTTGTTTCTGGGAGGCATCAGACTCTCCCGATAGCTTATGATGTTTCCTGAAAGAACATCATGGTTTTGAGACATGTGTCCAAACAATTTCTGATGATGTCCTTGTCTTTTCTTTCCGGGGGTGTCGCTGCAGCCAGTCCCGCCAGGCCTTTAGGCCTAGCTCCTTCTTTACTCCCGCCCATCTTGCCCCACTACCTGTGGCTCCCAGGGCTTCCAGGCCTGGAGCGGGATGCGCGAGGGCTCAGGACCTGTGCTTACCTTTTCCTCCCACTGCCCTTGGTTGGGGGCCCAGGTGTCTGATGCGGGGCTGTGGTGGGGAGGCCTCATGGGAATGCCCGCTCAGGAGGGGATCAGCCCCTCCAACACAACCATTAGGCCCCTGCAGAGGTCTTCGAGCTGAACAGGGTCGGGGTTCGGGGTGCTGAGGGGAGGTCGGTCCGGACACGAGGAGGGCATGGAGTCCATGCAGAGGACAGCCCTGTGCGCAAGGTGTGCGAGGTGTGTGAGGGTAGGAGGGCTTGGGGCCACCAGCCGTGTGGCCTGGGCTGGTCCCAGGGGATGCATGAAGCACCACCCCCCCCCCCCCCCGCGTCGTGGTCCTAGTACTTCTTCAGGGGCGCATGGAAAAGAACACCAGGAGACAACAGCAGAGGCCTATGACCGGCACCCGCCTTGGGTACTTGGGTGTATTAAACATCAGTCAAAAAACACATTTGAGATGTCAAGAAAAGTGAAAAGAATCAACAGTAAGAAACAATTCAAAGTAATAGAAAAAAAAAATTGGGCTTTCAGCCTAAAAAGGGACACAAGTAGAAGTTAAAGAGGGGGGGTAACTCCGAGCCTGCCAGCCACGTGGCAGTGGCCCCCAGTGGCACTGACCACTGCCTCAACGGCAGCCTCCTGCTGGGAAGAACCCAAGCTCCGGCCAGCGGTCCTTACTCAATCTGGTATTCAAAAGAGGTCATCAAATTGTAGTCCTCTTCCAAGTCCAGCACAGTCTCCACGATACTGTGATCATCGAAAGCCTGCTTGAGGCTGCTGGAGCCGCTATCCAGGGCCTTCGGAGGGCTCTCGTCCACGAGCAAGGCCCAGGCTTCCTCCCTGAAGGGCGAATCTCCGCAGCGACCACACACGCGGTTCAGCTCGTTTTCAAATTCTAGTTTCCCAGCCAACTCTTCAATAGTTCGGATGCTCGTATGGTCTTAAAAAGAAGAACATTCAGCATTACAATTCCAGTGAGAGGTTTCGGGAGACATTTCAGGCACCAGTTAAAACCCACAAACAGGTGGCCACTCTCCAGGTACTTCAGGACAGGGAGGCCGCCGGACTGAGCGCCCAACTCTAAGGTGGCCTTGGTGCCCACCCCTCTGGCTCTGCCTTTATTGAGCCCAACTACCCGCCAGTCCCCAAGGAAGGTGCAAGTGGGAGGATACAGAGATGGCTTGGCTTGTCTTGGATCTTAGGGAACTCCCTGACCTGCAGGCTTGACATGACATCGTGTGGAAAAAAGGGGAGTATGTAAGGGGAATCAAATGCTGCCCGGGGCTGGCAAGGACTGTGGAGGATGGTGAGTGGAGGCAGAGGACTTCAGCTCCCCTCTCACGGCCACTGGAGGAGACTCCATCCACTCACGAAGTGGCATGGCAGGTGTCTTGCTCTGTGGCCTCAGGGGAGTGACTCCTCCCACCAGGCCTCCCTCTCATCCCCCCAGAACCTGGAGGCCCTTCCAGAGCCAACAGCTTCAGGCAGCCCCCAAGGCTATGCATCCCTTAACCTGGGGCTGTTTGTCCACTATGCAGTGTGAGTCATTTGAAAAAAGAGCATACAAATAAATAAATAAAAAGGGCATATATAGTTCACACACAGAATGTACAGATGTGGGGGGGAAAAACCTCTGGCAGGATGTCCAGCACTGTTAACACTGGCTTTCTCTGGGTGCTGGCGTTATAGGGCTTTGGGATTCTAACTTTTCTTCTAATCTTGTATTATCTACCCAAGCTGGACCGCCCCCCACCCACCCCATCTTTGCCTATGTCCTGCCTCCTCAACCACCAAGTCCTGGAGAACCACTGTCCCTTGTGTCCAGGGATTTACTGTAACCAGACATTTATGACCCGATTCATGTGTGACTCCATCAGGCTATCAGCTCCATGAATGCTCTCTGCATAGAGCCTGCCATGGGTAAAACAAATTTACTGTGCAGGTGGATGAGAACTAAGAGAGTGGTTTTTTTTTTAAAGACACCTGCTGACTCAGGTGCCTGTGTGAAGGACCTATCCTCCCAAGGAGAGGACAGACCTGCCCTTTGTACTCACCGATCATATCAAGCAGATCCTTTGTGACCTCTTGGCTAGAATTGCTGAGTGGCATGTTTGAGTCAATCTTCAAATCTTTCTCCATATCTTTCCTGCAACCCCCAGGTGGAAACAAAAGAAGAAGAAAGAAGAAAGAAGAAGGAAGAAGGAAGAAG